CTCTGGGCCTGAGCACTGTCCCTCAGCTCTTCAGCTTAAGGCAAGTGCTCTACAACTTGAGCCACAGCACCACTTCTGGTTTTCTGGTGGTTTATTGGAGATAAGAGTCTCATAGACTTTCCTGCCCGGGCTAGCTTTGAACCACGATCCTCAGATCTCAGCCTCCTGCGTAGCTGGGATGACAGACGTGAGCCACCACACCTGGCAGCTTTGGGGTTTTGTGGACGATTTCCTCACTACCACCAAAATATTTAAACCTTTGAAATACTTGATTTCTTTCAAACAGCATTTTGTTTACTTAGGCACAAGATCACTCATCCAGCCATCACTCCCAGCCCCTCACCTCCTGTCATTCCTTGATACTTCTTGCACATCCTGCCCATGTGCTCACCTCCACCCCAGCCAGGCACTTCAGCCTGCATGAGAGTAGGTGAATGCACCTCCACAGCCCAGGGTCGGTCAGGCCCACCAGGACTCAGGTGGGTCACAGAGCCCGGGAGAAACTCTAGTCAGCTCACTCAGAGTTCTTTTACAACCTCCTATGGCACATTTTCCAACCAAGTCAGGGGCAGAACCACTGAGCACATTCCGTTAAGCTCTCCAGCCTTGCACCAGAACCTCACATACAGTACCTACAGATTAGCAGCTGATTCATTCTGGGATACTGGCCTCCCCAGTAGGGTCCCTAATGTCACTTGAGGCTGTACAGTTATTTTGTTTCCTGAAACATGTCTAGTTTGATTCTTTCAGGGCCATTCATTGTGAAGAAGGGACACGTGGAATAGAATCACGTTTCTATAGAACACTCTAGGTTGCATACTCCTGCAAAGCCTACGTGTGAATAGTAACGTGGTCCTGTGGGTGTGAAGAGACCCAGGCAGACGGAGCTGGGGCAGGGCCTCCGTTCAGATCTCGCTCTGTCACTCGGTGGCAGTTTCCACCTGCAGGGTCCATGCTGGTGCGAGGTGGTGGAAAGGGAATGGTGGGGCCACTCATAGTGAGTGACAGGCCTTTGTGCCAGGCAGGATAGATCGGCAGGCACAGGAGCATCCCCTGGCTTTTGCAGAGACGCTGGTAAATAGCATGTCCCATGTTGGTGACATTCTAGGACAAGCTGGGGAGCTTGGACACACTGAGGCAGTACACTCCACACAGACCCTGCAGGGGATTGGATTTGAGGTGAGTAAGCCAGCTGAGGGACCCCGGCCTCCGTAGCCCCTAACTGTCCTCAAACCAAGTGATGCCCCATCTTTCAGCTGGGAAAAGGCATCCTCTGAGTTCATTGCTCGCCTCCTACTGCAAGGGCCCTGCTGACTGCTGGCCCAAACTCGATCCAGCTCATAACCCTTGCTACTTCCTGCCCCTTGTATGTGACTTCTGCTGGCTACCCCTACTGCTTGCTAGACAGGATGGCGAAGATGTAACTCACTAGAAATACATCAACAGCATGTATTTGCCAGTGGTAGAGGAAAATAGTCCTTTTTCCCTCAGGGATGATCAGTCTAAACCTCATTTCAGATTCAGTCATCACAATTGAAGAAATGGGTTTCATTCAAATGAAGGTACAGGGGGCTGGGAAGGTGGCTCAGTGGTAGAGCGCTTGCCTTGCATGCATGAGGCCCTGGGTTCCATTCCTCAGCACCACCTAAGCAAAAAGAAAAAAAAATTTGGAAGTGGCGCTGTGGCTCAAGTGGTAGAGTGCTAGCCTTGAGCTGAAGAGCTGAGGCACAGCACCCAGGCCCAGAGTTCAGGCCCCACGACCAGACCTTCCCCCCCAAAAAATACACAAATGAAGGTACAGGAAGGTGAGAGCTTAAAACTTGTTCAGTGGAGATAGGTTGCAGCGCTGCGGGTCAGAGACTGGTACTCATCAATTCTTTTCTTTCTGTATGCTGATGATAACTACATTTCCCAGCATTCCTTGCAGTTAGGTTTCTGAGATCTAGCCAATGAAGTGTGAGTAACCAGGATGTCTGGGTTGATGGAATGATGGAACTTGTTTACAGAGGGACTTTGAATCACTGTCATCCCTTGGGGAAAGACTTGCCAAAAAGAAGCCTCTCGCTGGACTTTGTATGAGCAAAAGATAAATGTGTATTAGTTGGTTTGGTTTGGATTGGGGTGCTTTGATTTGGAGCTAGAGCCTGAACTCAGGGTCGTGTGCATTCTAAGCACACACTCTTCTACTGAGCCACACACCTAACTCCCACGTTTTTAGTCACTGTGATTTGGGTGAGGGTTGTTGCTTCAGTCCAATTTAACTTTGCTTCCTACTGGCATGTGGAAGGCAGGGCAGACTCCTCCCTCCTCCTGGCTAAGTCTCCACCCAGTACCTGTGACACCCAGGTAACTGCACACCTGGAGGCAGTGACCGCCCACTCCTTCGGGTCACATCCTGGGCTGTCGGGGTCACCCTGTCAAGGTCGGGGCCCTGAGGTCACATCTGCATCTGGTGTGTCCGGCCACACCGTCTCCCCTCCTCTTCCCTAGTTAAGTAAGGCTGGGCAAAACAGCCCTCCTGTCCTTTCGGCCATGTGCTCTCTGCCACGCACAGCAGGGCAGCGGTTCAGTAATAAACTTCTCTTCCCGCTTGAATACCAAGTGCTGTTCTCTTCATCAGCTACCTTACTAAACCTACCTATTTAATTTACCTTACAGCATGGGAGATTTAATCTGACATATATATGAGAGCCATCTTCAAATCTCAATAGCTGAAGGGTCACGTGGTGCCAGCAGTTACAATTAATGCCAACACATAAAGTGGTCCATCTTTAGCTCAGGAGTTAAAAGTTATGCCCAACCATGGAGCTGTCTTGCTCATGGTATGAGTGATGGTGTTTGAGGGACTGGACCATCATTTCTGAGGAGTTGGATAGCATGCTTTCTTGGGTACATTGCAGTGTTGGTATCTGATGTTTAAACTAGCAGTATTATGATATTTGTTGGATTAAAGCAAATGGCACTGGTTCCATTATGACCCCACTAAAGTCCACTAGCTTGAAAGATGAATTCCAGGAAGGGAAGCTGCTGGATTCCAGCGGCAAGACGAGAGGGTTTTCAGAAAAGCCTGGCGCCAAGAGGATCAGATTCTGACTCTGTTGGTTGTACCTACTGAAGCTCAGCTGCAGACAGAGATGTGTTCTGTGCTAAAGATTTCTTCTACTTTTTTCCTGCCAACCCACAGACCAGTGCATATAAACAGGAAGATGAGCCCTTGCCTCATGAAGCAAGACAGATAAATAAGAATCTTAATGGTTTCTGCCACCTACAGTCCAAGCCAGATGAGCTTTTTCTCCCACCCTTTCTTTCTAGAGAAAAGGGAATCTTAATCCTTCATAATATCCTTATTTACTCTGTTTGGAAGAAAAAAATCTAGTCTTCTGGAACACTTTAGGACACCAAGAGTCTGACTCAGCAAGGAATTAAGTGACCAAAATGAAATTTATGTTTCAATAGGATGTAGCTAATCCTTAGTGATTAACTTGGAGTCTGCTTTGGAAAAGACATCCCTGCCTAATGAGCCTGGTCGACAAATGTGGGCCTCCTCAAGTAAAATGCAACTGTTGAGGAAATCGCCAAAGGGATGAATGCAGCTGGCCCTTCTGCTTTGGGACTCTTCTTCCTGAGGAAAAGATGGTCTGACTGAGCTAGGCTTCATTGTGAAGAGCAGCTTCGGAGCAGGTACGGTGGGTCATGAGGCCAAAAACAGGGTGGATTTCTCCAAACCGTAAGAACTTGACCCTCCAAAGGGAGGCAGCCAAGGAAAATCTCAGAATGGCTTATCTCAAGAAGGAAGAGACGACCCCCTCTTCTTTAAGGTCTCTGTCTTTCTTGACCAATTACTGGGTAATCCAGGTCAGATCCTCTGATTGCTCAGAGATTTCTGATGTTAATTCCTGCTTCCTGCACCTTCCTAACACCTTAGGTACACACATCCACCTGGTTTTGGAAGACACCTTCCCCCAATAAGGACTAAACACACTCCTGCTATGAGTGGTTACTTTGCTTTATTTGCAGACAGGTTTGCCACATAAACCCATTGCACAGTCCATCACTTGTAGACTCTGTGTAAAAGAGAGGACAATACAAAAATACAACTCTTGATAACGAGTGGAGCTGTTCTTAGCTCATCCCAGCCCGTGCCAGTGAGAATGCCAATGTTTAGGTCAAAATAGGGGGAAAAGCTATGGAGCGAAGGGACACAAAAGACTCAGCCAATACCATCGCACTAGTAAGATGGTAGGCTGAAGCTGAGTGAATTCTTCCTGGTTCTGCAACTATTTCTGCCACCTTCAGACTTACTCATTTCCTCCTCAAGAAAGAGGAAGAGGAAGTCCTAGATTATCAGAGACCTTCCAGAGAGAGCTGGAGCCCTCCACAGTCAAAGTCAAGTAGAACCCTAGGATCCCAGAAGCCATCCTTCCCTGCAGCCCATCCACCCTTGGCCTCCGATAGAAGGGGTAAGAGACACAGAGTGTAGGATCGATGGTTTAGAGGTTGAAGAAGAGAGAGAAGAGAGATTGAGTATAGGATTCTGCCTGTTCATTCTCTCAAATTAACAGAGTTCAGAAATATCCTACTGCTGCCAACTTCTCCCTGCCCCTGAACTCCTCCTGGGCTACAGCCTATCTAGCCTCTTACTTTGGAAGGATTTAAATCTTGGGGGTTTTGAGAGCGTGCTGTGAGAAGTCAGAGCCTGTTCTAGTCCTGTCTGAAGGGCTGGTGTTTCTGTGAAGGAGGCAGGTCTCTCAGAGCAGCCAGCAGCTCTTCTGCCCTTGCTATGTCCACCAGGGCAGAGCTGGGCATGACACCTGGCAAAGGCCAAGTCTCTGGGTTTTGACCAGTCAAATGAGATTGAAGGACGTCATTCCTCCCCCGCCCCCCCCCCCAGCACCACAATCTGTGCTCTCTAGAGATCTTTGAGGGGTGGCACTCACAAAGCAAGAAGATTTGCTGTGAATCTGATCAGGGGAAATTTCTGTGTGCTTGAGCTGGGGCCAGACACAAACCTTCAAGAGAGATGAGCTCTGTCCTCAGCCCTCTGAGATGGAAGGAAAGCATGACATATGGCCCAAGGGCCGCTGCCCTCTCCAGATGGGTGAAGTGGGGCATCTCACAGAGGAGCAGGGACAGAGAACAAAGCAAAGTGAGCTCCAGGCCACCTCCTCTCCTGTCCACATGAGCTATTGGATCCACACTGGATCTTTATCCTGCTGCCTGAGACCTTGAGAGCATTTGGTGTGGTTGGTTAGAGCTGAGGATTCTGGGAGCGGGTCACATTCCTCTCTTGATAACTGCTGGCCACTCCATAGTATGTGTGGCAGGGGATGGGGAGTATGGACCCTGCCAGAAGTAACAGAATCTCAGTGTCTTGGCCCTCATCTGGCGGGGAGACCTGACATTTAGATCCCTCTCCTTCTGCACACCGAGCTCTCCTGTCTGCCATTCTGGGAACGTGATGGAAGAAAAGCTCATTGGGAGGAAATCTGTGCCAAGACCTTCAAGAAGGACATCCTGGCTTCAAGTCCTAGTGGCTACATTTGATACTTTTATTTTGAAGGACCTTTGGCAGCTCCTTGGGGAGGCCTGGGGTTCACTTGCCATCAGCCTTTGGACCAGGGGCGAGGGTGGGAGGGGGGTTCTGTTCCACCCTTCCCATAAACATAGGATGCAGTTGCTGTCGGGCTCTCTGCCGCTGTCCCTGCCCCCATCCCATGTCTACCGTTCCTTCTCCCCTTCCATCTGTTCAGTCTCCCCTTCCCGCCCCGTGATACAGCGGGTGTCAAAGGTGACAGCACAACTTTGTGCGTCATGGAGTATGGCAGGCACTTGGACAAGTCTCACCAGTGACCTTAGTGGCGCCCTGGTCCCCACCCCACCACATCTGCTCTTTGCAAACCTCCTGCCAGTGCCAGTCTGCTGTCTCCCCATCCCGAGCAGCCCCAGCCAGCAGCGGGAAGACACACCAGGGTTGACTGAGCTCATCTCCCCCAATCAGCGACACCCCTGGACCCCTGCAAGCTAGAACTGCCCTCCAGGGATCAGAGAGGCCTGGCGGTGGTCCAGTCATCCATCCCTCCCTCCCTCCAGCAGAAAAAAAAGGGGTGCAGTTGCCACACAAACTCAGGGACCACCCAGCCTCTGGGCTAAATCAAGGCTCAGGCCTCACCTAAGCCCACACACACGGGTGACTGAGGCTAGACCAACCCACCCGGAGGGGACCCGATCACGGCAGGCACCACTCCGGGCGAGGCAGGGGTCTGGAGTGTGGAATGGAGCTTCGTTAACAATCCAGGCTCCCCACTGTGGGCCTCACTTTTTCCCGAGGCCTCAGGAGCCCCCAGTGGGTAGGCCTCCCTGGCCCTGCGGGTCCTAGAGCAGGTAAAGAACGCCAGGCAGGCTCCCCGGAGGCGGGCCAGGTCCCTGTGGGTAGTCTCGCTGACGAAGCAGTACAACACGGGGTCGGCGACACAGTTGAAGCTGGTGAGGAGGAGGGAGAAGTGGTAGGCGTTGAAGATGCCCTTGGCGAACTCGCAGCTGGCCTCCCAGAGGCTGCGCACCAGCAGCAGCACGTGGTAGGGCAGGAAGCAGGCCAGGAAGATGACCACGGTGCTCAGGACCAGCCGCTGGATCTGGTCCTTGCGGCTCTTCTGCGTGCCGTGGCTGCGCCGCACTGCCCGCAGGATGCCCTGGTAGGAGGCCAGCAGGAGGCAGATGGGGAAGAGGAAGCCCACCAGGAAGCGGTAGTAGTTGATGCTGCGCTGCCACGCCTGGATGGGGTAATGCTCGAAGCACACGCGGTGCCGGTCCTCGTCCTCGATCACTTCCTTGTGCATGAGGAAGTAGATGCTGGTCAGCAGTTCCTTGACCCAGATGGCCACGCTGACACCAACCGCCGCCTTCAGGGTCCGGAACTGATGGAAGCGGAAAGGATGAGCCACGGCCAGGTAGCGGTCGATGGAGATGCAGCAGAGGAAGCCCACGCTGATGTAGATGTTCTCATAGAGGAGGATGCCGCACACCTGGCAGGACAGGTCGCCGTGGGACCAGTTGTCATGCTGCAGCACGTACTGCAGCCAGAAGGGGAGCGAGCAGATGTAGAAGAGGTCAGCCATGGTGAGGTTGCACAGGTACACGCCCAGTTCGTTCCGGGCCTTGATCTGCAGGTAGCCGAAGTAGAGAGACAGGCAGTTGGCCGGAAAGCCCACGACCAGCACCGTGACATAGACCACGGGGGCCAGCGTCTGGTGAATGGTGTGGTCAATGGCACAGGTCAGCGAGGAGTTATCTGTGGTGATGTTCCCCATCTTTGGACCGGAAAGGGCCTTTACCCTTCACAGGCTCAGGGACTTCTCTCCACCGCCATCTTGTTTAGAGAAGGTGGCTCAAGCTGTGAGCCCCTGGAAGTAAATTAAAGGTGAGAAAGGCTTAGAAGAATCATAGCTAACATGTATACAGTGCCTGTTGTATATCAGACACTGTTGTACATGCCGTATTTGTTTGTTCATTTACTTATTTTGCTAGTTCCCAGGCTTGGACTCAGGACCTGGGTGCTATCTCCGAGCCTCTTTGTGCTCAAGGCTAGTGCTCTTCCACTTGAGCCACAGCACCACTTTTAGCTTTTTCTGAGTAATTTATTGGAGATAAGAATCTCACAGACTTTCCTGCCTGGGTTGTCTTTCAACTATGATCCTTAGATCTAGCTCCCCGAGTAGCTAGGGTTATAGGTGTGAGTCATCCACTCCCAGCTTTTTTTCCTCTTTTTTCTTTTTGTCAGTTACAGGGCTTGAACTCAGGGTGTGGGCACTGTCCCTGAGTTCTTTTGCTCAAGGCTAGCGCTCTACCACTTTGAGCCACTGTACCACTTTCAGTTTTCTGATGGTTAATTGGAGATAAGAGTCTCATGGACCTTCCTGCCTGGGCTGGCTTTGAACCACAAGCCTCAGATCTTAACCTCCTAAGACATGAGGATTACAAAATAGTCCCTGGCTATGTACTGTATCCTATTCAACTTATGTACCTGCCAGCCAACTCTAATCCAAGGAGAATATCTGAACAGACCATGTATACTGAGACACGGTCTACGGCTTCCCTTCCCTCTCTCTGGCTTCCCTTATTTTTCCCCTGATCTTTGTCTTCCAGATGTGTTGGTGCCGAAAAGAAGACTGTAGATAGGAGGGGTGCGAGCCCATTCTGAGCTCTGCTCTGCAGGGGAGTCTCAAAGCCAAGGTCAGTTCCAACCCTCACACAGTAAGGGTCCTCTACCCTTGCCTACAGCAATCAGCAACCCGTTTCCTGCTCTCTCCTGGGGCTTTGCTGCGGCAACACAGCTCTTGCCAGGGCCTCTCCAGACAGCAGCAGAAGCAACCTTGTCGCATCCTATTGTGCAAGAAATAAAAGTGGAGCTTCCTGAAGGGCCTTACCTAGACTTCTGGATTTCCCATCAGCAGTCCCTACCCATTCTCTCCTTCATGGAGCTTAAGGAAGGTTCTGGACCAGGAGCCAAAAGACAAAGAGTTCCAGGCCAGTGGAACAGGAGTTCCACCCCAGCATCAATTGTATCCTACACTTGTAGGAAGGGAAGGGTTGAACAACTACTACCAGGTGTGCTAGTCACTTAGCCCGTTTCCTCACTTGGAAAAAAGATAAAAGCAGCTACTCAGGGGGGGCCGTCTGCACAGGACCACATGTAACAACTGCTGTCAGGAGGCACAGCGTTGATTTGCCAAGGGAGTGCAAGATTGTCATCTTACTCAGATCAGTGAAAAGTTCACATGGTTGGGATTCCAGACATACAAGCAAGTGTGACTGACACCCAATATAATGCTGTATTGTGAATTAACAGGTCAAAATAATAAAAGCTTGAGCTGCTCTTCTAGTTTTGATTCAGCATTTCTCTCTCAAACAAACACCCTCACTAGATCTAAAACTGTATTTGATTTTTCTCCTTCTCTTCCTTCTTTACAGTACCATTATGTAGACGAGGTTACCCTCCAACCCACATCCTCCGGCCTTAGCCTCCCAAATGCTAGGATTATAGCTGTGTACTAGGTACTATACAGGCTAAATCAACATATCCCTATTGAGAATGTAGCAGATTCGCAGTGAATGGGGGTGGTCTAAATTAAGTGACTTTGTGTGGTCTACATGTCAATTCTCTGCACAGAGTTGAACTGGAATTCATGGCCCAGTGCAGGAAAAACCCTTGGAGTCTATACTCAAGTATCGTAAGACCACAGGACTCCAACTCCTTACAGCTCTCTGAGAAGCGAAGTCCTCCTCTTCTTTCTCTTCCTCCTCCTCCTTCCTTTCTCTTTTCCTCTACCACCACCCCAGCTCTGCCTTCCTTAAGACCACCAGATGAGAAGCTGGCCCAGCATGCTACAAAGGCTCTCAGGTAAGTCCAGCCCCAAAGTTTCAGTCCTGAGGTCCAAGATGGATCAACATGAGGAATTTCTCTAAAATCACATTCAATACTGTAAATACCCAAGTACATTCATCCCCTCCATAGTCATCATGTCTGTTTGCCGTGGTTCACTGTGGTTACAAAGAAAATGGATGAGTCTAACACAGTAAGATATGTTCAACTTGGGAGGCATAAGACAGAAGGATGGAGACAAGGCCAGCCCAGGCTCAAAAACAAACAAAAAAGCCAGTCCCTGTCTCAAAAACAAACAAAAAAGAGGCTGGGAAGGTGGCTCAGTGCTAGAATGCTTGCCTCACATGCATGAGGCCCTGGGTTCGAGTCCTCAGCATCACATAAGCAAAAAAAGCTGTGGCTCAAGAGCATTAGTTTTGAGCTGAAGAGTGCAGGGACAGCGCCCAGGCCCAGAGTTCAGGTCCCACAACGGACCAAAAAAAAAAAATAATAATAGGACCATGGCTTTCCGAAATGTTTATAAAATACACAAGAAACAGGTCCTATGCAACGCTACCCTCTTTCACTTAGTCTCCAGCTTCCTGTCACTGCCTCCAAAACCAATCCTCTCTTCTACCCTAGCTCTTTCCACCATATTGCCCCACCAAACTCTGTCCCCCCTCAATGTACTAGCCCCTTCCCCCAGCTCCACCCCACCTTCCATTCTAGATCTCTTTTCCACCTCAGCTCTGTCCCCACCCTGCCCATCCCAGCTACCCCCCTTCCCACCTCAGGCCCGCTGATTATCACCCACGGGGCAGCCATGGCAGTTCTTCCAAAATGCAGACCAGATTCTCTTCCTTGCTTCATGCCCACTGAGGTAGACTCTTTCACACTTAAACTGCAACCCTCAGGGGAGGCCTACGAGGCCTGTACGTGTGCGCGTGCATGTGATCTGGTTCCAGTTCTCTGATCTTACCTGCCTCCCCCACACCACAGCCACAGGAGCAGCTTCCTGTGTGGAATGTCGATATCACACCTCAGACCTGAAGAGGCCTTGATTCAGCTCCTACTGCTTCCTGAGTTCTCCTGCCCTTCCCCACCCACCCCATAGCATCTGCTCCTTCTTTATCAGATCTCATCCAAGGAATGCAGCCCACCCGTCCGTGGGCTCCACAGGCTCCACAGGCTCCTCGGCTCAGCTTCTTGTGCATTTCTTTGTCTCCCACGAGAACGTAAATCCCAACTTGCACACTTGACCAGTGCTGGGTCTTTAGCAGCTTGAACTGCCTGGAGATTCTTAATTAAATAGGTAAACACCACTTCCTTTATTTCAGGTCAGGAAACTGGCTCAAAGGGAAAGTGACTTGCCCAAAGCCAATAGAAAGAAGGAAGAATCAGCTAGAATCTAGGACTCTGTTTCATGTCCCTCCCCCCCCCCCCCCCTCCCATCAACCAAGGTCTCCACCCAAAGCTCACCTCTCCAACCCCTCAGTTCCCAGAAGCCATGAATTCCCAGTGGAATCAGCTCCCACAATCTGTCCAGGGCACTGGCCCGACCCAGCAGGGAGGATTGCTTCTTATCCTTTTAATTGTGATTTAAAAAAATATATACACAAGACAAAACGTAACCACCTAAACCACTTTAGATCTACAGCGGGGTGGCGTTAAGTACTTTCCCACCTTCTAACCATCACCCCTCCCATCTCCCGAATGCTGCTCATTATTGCAACAGTAAAACTCTGAATCCATTCAAGATGAGATCCCTCAGCCCCATTCTACTTCCTGTCTCTATGATTTTGACTATGCTGGGTACCTTCTGTAAGTGGCATCAGACAGTAGGAAGTCCTATTGTGTCTGGCTGTTTCATTTAGTACAATGTCTTCAAGAGTCACCCAGCCTGGAAGATGTGTCAGAATTGCCCTTTTTTTTGTTTGTTTGCTGGTTGTGGGGCCTGAACTCTGGGCCTGGGCGCTGTCCCTCAGCTCTTCAGCTCAAGGCTAGCGCTCTACCACTTGAGCCACAGTGCCACTTCCAGCTTTTTTCTGCTTATGTGGTGCTGAGGAATCGAACCCAGGGCCTCATGCATGCAAGGCAAGCGCTCTACCACTGAGCCACCTTCCCAGCCAATTGCCTTTTTAAGGCTGAGTAAAATGTAACTTACTCATGCCCCTTTGGTTTAGCCATCTGGACATTTGGGTTGTTTCCATCTTCAGCCACTGAGAATAATACTGTAATAAACATACAGGTACCAAGATCTGTCAAGCTCCTGCTTTCAAGTCTTATGGATATTGTATCTCCATATCCAGAACTGGAATAGCTGGATCATAAGATAATTCTATGGTCATCGTTTGGGAAGTGCCAGGGTATTTTTCCAGAGCAGCTCAGTGCACAGGTGTTTTTAGATTGTCCATTTGCTTTCACACTTACATGCTTTGGTGGTGAGAAAAAAGGAAGAAGGATCAGCCGAAGCCTGGGATCACCCACCCCTCCCCCCAAAAAAAAACAAAAACCACTGCCCACAGTCCACTAAATCACCATCCTCCTGCTAGCTCTCCTATCCCTGAATCCCAAACCCACACTGGAACCCAGTGCCTCATCAGAATTCCTTATGAGGAAGTGGACAGCAGCACAGGATCTGGAGTGGCCCCCAGGCACAACCAGTGAGGACTGGTTCTCGGCAGGTTGGATAAAATCTACCTGCAGGAAGGTACAATTCACTCATCAGCACAGGCCCCAGGGCGCCAACAAAATAGGGCAAAGGAAGCCACCTAGAAGACATGTCCTGTCAGGTCTTGGAACTTCCCTGACTGTAGTCACAGGCCCCAAGTCTGTTGTTTACTAGTGATGAGTGTACAGACGGACCAAAGTGTGGGGTGGGGCAGGGCCACGGTGTGTAGCTTCCTCTTTCCTAGGCCAGCAGTAAGCCAATTCTGGCCACTACTGTCAGAAATATTCAAGCTTACAGGGCCAAAAGGAAACACAGAGAACAATGAAAGCATTTTCTATATTCATTTTGGAGAAAAAAACATCATTTCTTGGATGGCGGGGGGGTAAACACCAGAATCCCCTGGTGATTAGTTAAGACAAACCCTCCAGGGTTTCCAGGAAAGAGGGATTCAAGATTTTTTGCATTTTAAGCAAATCCCAAGTGCTACAGATGCTGCTGGGCCACGGACCACACTGAGCAGCGAGCTACCATGACAGTCTATGAGGACTGAGATTCTGCTTCTGACACACTTTCTGCAGGAATTCCCCTGATAGCGGAGCAGAGGTGGTTGGAAGGGGAACTTAAGACCCAGCCAGACCTGTGGGCAGAACTGGAACAAAGGCCCAGGACATCCTCTAACTAATTTAGCTTCTCAAGAAGTAATAGGGGGCTGGGAAGGTGGCTCAGTGGTGGAATGCTTGCCTTGCATGCATGAGGCCCTGGGTTCGATTTCTCAGTACCACATAAACAGAAAAAGCCGGAAGTGGCGCTGTGGCTCAAGTAGTAGAGCGCTAGCCTTGAGCTCAAGAGCTGAAGTACAACACCCTGGCCTAGAGTTCAAGCCCCACCACTGACAACAACAACAAAAAAAGAAGTAATAGGGACCCTGTCTCAGGCCTACCACTTACATTCGAGTAATATTTTCCAGTTTCCAGAACATTCTACTGACTCCTGCCCTTGTAGGCCACCTTCACAACAGTTCTGTTATTGTCCCCATTTTAGAGGCAAGAAAACTGAGGTCCAGAGATGAAGCACTTGCCCCTCCATCCAGTGCTCCCAGATTTCACAGAGCGAGTATATGTAGCGTATGTACAGTGTTTGTGGTGCCAGGTTATGTAGGACTTAGATATAAACAGGAAAGAGCTCCCACGATTTGGTAACCTCCAAGATTAGAAGACAAACCCCACATGCATGGATTGAGGCTGGGTCCGATGTTTCTGTGGACATTGCTCTAGTACACATTCAGGTTTGTTGGTTCACTCTCTATGGGATGGCATCTCCTCCATGGCTCCAACCCCATCATACTCTGCTGACTTTCCCCAGGCTGAAGTTTACATAAGCAACAGCTAGCTTCTCACAGGGCATGCTCATTGCGGCCCATGCCAGTCCATTGTTTTCTCCACTAATTTGTCCTTGGAGAGGATGTCTTCATCCTTAATGGCTCTTGTTGGATGTCTGGCTTTGGTTTCCTCCTCCATCCCCATTTATAGCATTTACTTTCACAATGCTTAAGTAAATTAGGAAGCTCTTACCATTTTCTACCTGTGTATTTGCCATCCCCTCCTCCTCTTCAGGTCTCTCAACAGAACTCCAGATTGGCTTGATAAAGACTTTGTTCACATTTATTCAGTGCAACAACTTCCTATTGGACTTTGTGGTTCCATCTTACCATCCCAAAGTCATCCTAACCAAGACATAGCCTGATTCCAGGCTTCTTCAATCATCCACCTGCCCATCCATCCATCCACCCATCTATCCACTCTTTCATCCATCCATCTATCCACCTGTCCGTTCATCTTCCCATGCACTCATCCATCCACTCAACCGCCTACTCACTGATCCATCCAAGAATTCCCTCACAGAACAAAATGTTCGTTGAATTCCTATATGACAGCATTACACCCAGCACTGGACCCTAGAGTTGATTTGCTTTTGGCTTTATGAGACAGAGGAAGATAAATGAAGCAAGCTCATAAGTACACAGCTTTTTATGAGAATTCATTCACGGTATTCTAACCCAGTTACATTAAGATCAAGAAAAGGAAGGGTTACCCCAGTAAAGGGGAGTTTGTGTCTGTGGAAAATGTCTGCATCACATCAAATGCAAGAGGGAGAAAATGAGTGCCTTTGGGGAACAGAAAATAGCTTGGCACAACAGGGTGGAGGTGAGTGGTGGGCAGGGCTGCAGTAGAGACAGGAAGCTGTAGCAGATGACAACTCATTAGGAGAGACGTAGGGAACAATTGGGGAAAATCTGAGAATTCCTCAGTACATAGTTTTTAAGACTCTCAAAAACTTCATTAGATGAAAAACTGGGTGAGTATGTGCATTTGTATAGACAGTATGTGCATGTGTGTGAATAGGTGGATGGCTAGACTAATGGGTGGACAGTCTGATGGATGTGTTGATGCGTGGGTGGACAGATGGATGAATCCATGGATAGTTAAATGAACAGAAGTGAGTGAGTAGCTAGATAGATGGTGGTGGGTTTTAAGGCTGGGTACCGGAACAGTGGTGTCATTACCAGGAACCAGAAGGTGAGGAGGCGATTCTCCTGTCTGCTTAGGCTGCCTGGGCTGGATAGAAGGTCTTGCCTTTTTCCTCAGGTCTTATCACAGCCAGCTCTTCCTTCTACCACTTCCTGAGGAAAAGCCCCCTTGGATGGAAACTCTACCTTGCCAGGAGTGTCCTTTCGCTACTTGGTCTCCAGAGGACTCTGACCCTCAAAAAGCAAAGGCTATCTTGGATGCAGAAGAGTTCTGCAGAAGGTAACACATGGATGGGATAGAAAACTCAGCCACGCTCGCTGGTTTCCCGTGCATTCCTGTACATTCATTCTTTCCATGTTATATTATGGGAGGTCAGCTCCCACTGTACAGATGAAGAAACTGAGGCTCAGAGAGATGAGCCACCCTGCTCGAGCTTCCACGGTCAGGATGCTGCAGGCCAGGTTGAAACTTTTAACTGACTCACACTTTATTCCTCACTGGGAATGTTTATCAAGATGGCCACTGATCAACTCGCTGAGTTACTGAGCCACCGGGCTCACGTGAGCTCCAGGCCTCACAGATGCCACCTCTGGGGCCAGTGAACTAAGTCTTGGGTACCATCTGTACCCAGATTACCAGGCCAACTACTTCTTCAACACCCATGAGGAACAAAATCCTACTGTGCGCCCAGTCCTCGGTCTCTCAGGGTGGAGGAGGGCTG